GGGAGAGGGAGAAGCAGGCTTCCCGCTGAGCAGGGAGCCCGATGCAGGGCTCAGTCCCAGCACCCTGGGATCATGACCTGAGCTGAAGGCAGACGCTTACCGACTGAGCCACCCAGGCGCCCCTAAATTATAATTTTTATAGTATGTCTTATATATGTACAACAGTAAATAACAGTGTATCAAATATATTTTATATTTACCTTTATTTTAGTGCTCTCTGGAGATCTTCATTTCTTTGTATAGATCTGGTATCGTATTCCTTCTGCCTGAAGAACTTCCTGTAATATTTCTTGTAGTGCAGCTCTGTTATTAGGAATTATCTCTGTTTTTGTCATTTTTCAAAGATACTTCACTGGGTATAGAATTACAGGTTCACAGTATTTTCTTTCAGCACTTTACAGGGGCCCACCTGTTTTGGTGTTAGTGTGCAGGATTGGGTCTGTCTGGTCGGGAGCTGTGCTGGGTTTGGGTTTGCTGTTTTGGTTACCTTCATCGCACCTTCAACTTCCAATTCCTGTAGCGTTACCATGTGCTGTTTCCTGGTTCTTGTAGTTTCTGACAGGAGGTCCGCTGTGTCTCTTTATTCCTATATATGTAATGTATCTTTTCTTCCTGAATGTTTACAGCATTTCATCTTTGGTTTTTAGCTGTTGAATATGATATGTCTTGATGTTTGTTCTTGGTATTTTTCCTACTTGGGTTCTCTGGGCATGTTGGATCCCATTACACTGTTTACTTTTACCCTACAGCTTTTGGATTCTGTTTTGTGTCTAAGTCTTTTCTTTTTATGTATCAGTTTGGGGAATTTGTATTGGGTAAGACTAATTGATCTGTCTTCCAGTTCGCCAGTTCTTTCCTTGACTGCAGGGTTGAGTCTCTTGATGAGCCTGTTGAGGTCAACCTGCTTATTTGCTACTGTATTTTTAACATTTACATTTGGCTTTTACAATTTCCAGCTCTTTAGTGGAGTTGCTCATCTGTTCCTACATTTTGTCTACTTTTTCTGCTACAGCCTTTAACATATTCCTTTTTTTTTTTTAAGATTTTATTTATTTGAGAGAGAGAATGGGAGAGAGAGAGAGAGGGCATGAGCAGGGGAAAGGGCAGAGGGAGAAGCAGACTCCCTGCTGAGGGGGAGCCTGATGCAGGGCTCGATCCCAGGACCCCGGGCTCGACCTGAGCCGAAGGCAGACACTTGACTGAGTCACCCAGGTGCCCCTTGTCTACTTTTTCTACTAGAACCTTTAATATTTTAGTTATTTTTTTTTAAGATTTTATTTATTTATTTGAGAGAGAGTGGGAGAGAGAGAGGGCATGAGCAGGGGGAAGGGCAGAGGGAGAAGCAGACTCCCCCCTGGGCAGGGAGTCTGATGTAGGGCTCCATCCCGGGACTCCAGGATCATGACCCAAGCCGAAGGCAGATGCTTAAATGACTGAGCCACCCAGGTGCCCTAATATATTAATTACTTTAAATTCCATAATAGTTGTGGGCGCCTGGGTGGCTCAGTCGTTGGGCGTCTGCCTTCGGCTCGGGTCGTGGTCTCAGGGTCCTGGGATTGAGCCCCGCATCGGGCTCCCTGCTCGGTGGGAGGCCTGCTTCTCCCTCTCCCGCTCCTCCTGCTTGTGTTCCCTCTCTCGCTGTCTCTCTGTCAAATAAATAAATAAAATCTAAAAAATAAAAAATAAATAAATAAATAAATTCCATAATAGTTGTAACATCTGGGTCATCCCCGAGGCTTTTTCTATTGATTGCTTTGTCCCTTCACAGTGTGTTGTGTTTTTCTTCTTCTGTGCACATGTGTATCTCATAATTTTTGATTGAGTGTTAGACATAAGTAAGACCGTAAAGAGCAAAGTAAATAGTATTTATGCCTAGAAATGGGCATGCTTTCAGTAGGCTGTTAGTATGGGGATCAGGTCAGTCTAGTTAGGAGTTAAGCTCACCTAGATTCTGTTATTGCTTTGCTCCCCTTCACTGCACCAATAAGCCTCTGTTGCTACCATCTGTGTAGGGTAGGGGCTGAATTTCCGGAGGGTATTTCTCCATGTTCCTGTTCTACCCTCAGCTCTCAGCCTTCCTCCTGTTTCTGTGCCTCAAAGGGAATCTCTCTAAGCTCTTGCCCTTTCCCGGCAGTAGATCTCTATTGCTTCCCACTTGGGGGGAGCAAAGTTGGGAGGGCAGTCTCCATTATCCTGGTTCACCTTCAGTCCCTGTGGCCCTGGGTCTTGGGTGGGCTTTCTCCGTGACCCTGCCTGTCCCACAGGACGAGTTTTTTTTTTCCCCTTTTCTCTTTTCACCATCCCAAATGGGTCCTCACGTGTTCCAAGTAGGAGACAGGATTTGCAGACCTAATCCCAGTCTCTTAAGGCCTTTGTTTGGTAGAGGAGAAGGGCTGGGCTGGGCTTTGTGCTTTCTGTGCCATGTTGGCTGCTCCTGGCCTACATCTCTGAGGGATGCATTCTCCCACCTCTTGCTCTGAACCTGGCGTCGGTCAGGAGCACACTCTGGAGGTTTGTTGCAAATAGCCCGTGGGGCGCGCACTCCCTCGTGTGGTGTCTGTGGCTAGCCCCTACCTGGCTTGTAGCAGCAGGTTCAAAATTTTAGCCGAACTCTTCTTACCTGTCCAGATGGCCTCCAGTGTGTCTTCTTCCCGGGCCCTGTCTCAGGCGAGCAGGTGCTCATGTGCAGTTTCTCCTTTGAGGGGCTTCTCTTCCCTTAGATTTTGTTCTACTTGGTTGCCCTGTGGCCTCGGTTCTTGGATGACTTCACAGAAAGTCATGCTATTTGTAGTTTTTCTGGCTCTTCTTGTTAGGATGAGCGCGGTGCTCTTTCCAACTTGCACCGTCCTTGGGGGAAGCCTAAACCTCCTGGACTTTATTTCGATCATTACAAAAAAACCCCAGCACCAAGCCCACTAGATGCTGGGCTGTGTGCTGAGTGAGGGGGAGTTAAGCTTTGAGGAATTCTCTCTCCCAGCGTTGTAGTCTTGACAGGAGGGTCATTCTCGAGCACATTACATAAGCTTCCCCTGTGGGAGGCTTTGCTTGTAATGGGAATCTGAAGCGAGTGTCTGCAGGTGGAGAGAGAGGTGGGAGGTAAGCAGGCATGCCGGTCCCCCTTGCACACCCCCGAGACGACACTCCCATGGCTTTGCTGTCCATGCCCTTGGGGCCTATCCGTCCGCATCTCGTTCTCCAGGTTCATGTCCATTTTGTGTACCTCTGATAGCCTTCTAATGAATTCTTTTTTGCTGAAGTTGGTAGAACTACTAGTCTGTCATGTACAACCGAGGACTTCTGCCTCAGGAAATGTATAAGCTGGAAGGAGAAGCACAATACCCAGAAAACACTGAAATACCCAAGTGCAGAGCAAAATAGTGCCGCCGAGCTTGGACAGGCCAGGGGTCTGCCGACTCTTTCATAAAAGGCCAGACGGTAAATAGTTTAGTCTTGTGGCCATATGGTCTCTGTTGCCAACTACTCAACTCTGCCATCCTAGTGCAAAAGCAGCCGTGGACAGTATGTAAACAGATGGGAGCAGCTGTTCCAATAGAGCTGTTTACATGTGCAGGCAGCCATGGTTCACCAGCTCCCGCTGTAGGCCACCATGTATATTTAGAGGAAGAGTAGAGACAGGCTGTGTATTTACTGGTTCTTTGCAAAGGCCAGAGTTTCAAGGGTCAGGGTCCCCATGCCTGAGTATTAACGGACATCATTCTTTCTGCCCATTCTTCCCTTGCAGAAGCAAAACCGGCCCCAGAAATATTTGAAAATGAAGTCATGGCCCTGCTGAGAGACTTTGCTAAAAACAAAAACAAAGAACAGAGACTGCGTGCCCCAGATCTGGAATACCTCTTCGAAAAGCCACATTGAGCTGTGCACCACCGCCTGCCCTGGAGGCTCAGTCCACGGACCCTAACTTAGGATAGACACTGGCCTCGACTTCCTGCTTCTCCTGAGACGCTCAGCCCACCCAGACTGTTTGTCTTGCTTCAATTGAGGGACCCATCTCTCAGGACGTGTAAATACTGGGTGTGACTCATTCTAAAACTTTGTGGGTTCAGTTTTAAGCCTAAAAGCGGTTGCTGGTGTTGCCGGCACTCTGGCCTGTTTCTCTGCCACAGGAGGGCAGTGTCAGGGAAGGGATGGTGCTGGCTCGTTGCTTTAGCCGGAAGTGTGTGTTCAGTGCAAAGAGGCAGCCAGCTGCGGGGGCTGGGTGGTAGGCTTCCCCGAGCAGCCCAGGGCTTTATTCAAGTGAAATCCCTACCCCCCACCCCCCCTTTCCCACCCAGTAGGGTCCTTTCTGCTAGGGCAGCAGACCCAAGCCCCCTGAGCTGAGTCAGAGACATGGCAGGCAGAAGGAGGGCGGCAGGCAGGGATGTGTGGGCATGCTACTGATGAGTCCACATCCTCCTCATCAGGTTTTCTCTAGAACGTTCACTCTGTAAACTGAAAGATAATTAAATATTAAAGAATATTTTATGAGGGAAAAACCACAGTTCCCAGCCCTCACACAATTATTTTAATTCTGTCAGTCCTCACATAATGCATAGTCATTTGTCTCCAGAGTTATACAAGGTGACAACCACAGGGTTTAGCCCCATGTGGCACGATGGCAAGCTTTTTCTGTATTTCTGCAGTCTTCCCCATCACTGTAGTTGACGAATTGACAACACATAAGCAATAACATCTTGGAATCGGTTGAAAGTGCTGAGCTCCGGGACCGGAAGACTAATGTGTTTGGCTAGCAGTGGTCTCCCTGGAGGGATTTTGCCCTCAGATCTGTAATCCAGTCAGAGCTGTCATCACCCGGGCTGGGCCAGGACCATCCGAGGGTGTGGACCTCAGAAGGCAGTCTGGGATGGATGAGCACGGGGTTGGTGATCACAGGAGATGCACGCAGAGAGGAAGCGCCTGCTTCCTGCTTCCAGCATTCTGCAGAGCCTCCTCCTGGTCCTCCCTGCCCCTCGGTGTTCCCCGCTAAGGAGAGGAGAGAAGAGAACTAGCCTTTACTTACACGACCCTGTGAAAGCCTCACAGCACCCCTATGGACAAGTGGTGTTATGCTGATTTCGTAGATGAGAAAGTGGGCTCAGAGAGCAATTTGTCCAAGGTCAAGTAGCTATTTAGTCGGAAAGTGACAATCTCCTTTAGTTCTGCCTCCAAAGCGTATGAACTTTCTACTAGACCACTCTTCACTGGTGGAAACTTAGTAGGAATTCATGCTTTGGAAAGTTAGGGCAAAGACATGATCGTTCTGAGACAGTGAACCTGTGTGTCACGAAGGGGGCAGGCAGCTGCCAGGTGCTTCCCAAAGTAAGCCCGTGGCTCCCCAGGGCAGCTCGCGTAAGTGACAGAGCAGTGTCGGCACTGGTTTCAAGTTCAGATCTCCATTCCGCTGCTCATTTGCTGGCTGAGTGCATTGCCCTGAGCCCCCATTTCCTCATCCATAAAATGGGGGTGATGACTCTCCTTATCTTAGCTGATTGTAAATTTCAGATGAGAAGAGAAAAAGCTCACAAAGCTCTTCCATGGCCCCCAGCACACTCAGCTCTCTGTAGATATTAGGTGTCAATGCTTGGTCGAGGCCCCAGCCTGAGACTTAAAAGCCGCCTCCTAACACCAGTCGCCTGGCATGTCACTGAGGTCACCAGAACTTGTGTGGGGCCGGCTCCTGTGCAGGTGGGAAAGCCAAGCCCGCTAGAGAACCACGGGGGTGTCTTAGCAGCCATGGGAGACAGAAGACACCCTGGGGGCGAGAAGCAGGCGTCAGAGTGACAGCTGGGAGGCAGAAGCAGGGCTTTCTAGAGGACGTCCCCCGGGACTTCCCGCAGACTCTGGCCACTTGGGAACTCGTTTGATGTGCTGGGCAGAGGGCGTTAGGCAGCCAGAGAGTTTGTGGAGCGAGCTGGACTGTGAGATGTGCACACAAGCTGGGCAGCGACTTGCCCATCCATTCTGGATGCTCTCGCGGCCCACTCCGACGGCCTAGTGGGCAGCTTGGGCCTTTTCCCCCCGGGGGGTTCGAGGTCTCCTGACCCTTATTTTGTCTCATTTAACATGATGTTCAACTGTTGCCACTGTCACCTGGAACTGGCGTGCTTCTAAAGAACTGTTTTCCTCCCAGGCTGCTGGCTTGTGTCAGCTCAGAAAGTGAAGGATCTTGCTAACTTCAGCTGCTCAGTGTCAGACCCAGGGGTGCTATGTAAACAGTTTTTCCCTTTATTAGGCATTAACTAAAACTAGGCTGGCCCACAGTGCATTTTTTTTTTAAAGATTTTATTTATTTGAGAGAGAGAGAATGAGAGATAGCACGAGAGGGAAGAGGGTCAGAGGGAGAAGCAGACTCCCTGCCGAGCAGGGAGCCCGATGTGGGACTCGATCCCGGGACTCCAGGATCATGACCTGAGCCAAAGGCAGTCGCTTAATCAACTGAGCCACCCAGGCGCCCCCACAGTGCATTTTTTAAAAATTAATAAATAGTGAGGGGAGGGGGGTGGGGGGATGGGTTAGCCTGGTGATGGGTTAGCCTGGTGATGGGTCTTAAAGAGGGCACATTCTGCGTGGAGCACTGGGTGTTATGCACAAACAATGAATCATGGAACACTACATCAAAAACTAATGATGTATGGTGATTAACATAACAATAAAAATTATTTTAAAAAATTAATAAATAGCAAGGGCCAGCAGCCCCCCAAGGACTTGTGGGGAACAGGAGCCAGCCCCATCGCTCTCAGTCTGACACATCACTGCTCAGTGACCTCTTTCTGAGCCGGGGCCTGGCACATGAGCTTCTGGCCCTGCGCTGCCCCAGCTGAAGTGGTTTTGTGAGTCCTGCCGGCCAGGCTGCCTCGTGACCCGTCACACTGGCTCACAAAGGCTGTTCTCTTCCCATTCTTGCCTCTCTTAATCATGTCAAGTCTTCAGGATGCACAAGCCAAACTCCTTTGCCCAAGCTCCGTGCCTTGGAGGGGGTCTTGTGCAGGGTCATCGCAGTTGAGGTCATCACTGGCTTCGGGCATTATCTGGAGGTTCTCTGGTCTGTCTCACAGCTCCAGCCAGGGTGGCACACTCACAAACCTGGTTCGTTTTTTTTTGTTTTTTTTTTAGAGAGCATTCGAGAAGGGAGGGGAAGGGCAGAGGGAGACAGAGAATCTTTATTTATTTGACAGAGAGAACGAGAAAGGGAACACAAGCAGGGGGAGTGGGAGAGGGAGAAGCAGGCTTCCCGCTGAGCAGGGAGCCCGATGCAGGGCTCTATCCCAGGACCCCGGGATCATGACCTGAGCCGAAGGCAGACGCTTAACGACTGAGCCACCCAGGCGCCCCCCCTGGTTCATATTTTTAAACATCACCAGGAAAAGAGATTCTGCTGGCACGGTTGAGAGTCTCACATTTATCCGCCGGTCCATCCGCCACGCTGTCATGGCTCAAAGAAGGGGAAGGGTTCATGATACAGAAGCCAGGCAGCCTCAAGGGGCCAGCAGGTCTGGGAGACTTCTGAGCTGACGGCCCCCCAATAGCACCGCCGGCCGTGTCTGAGGGGGTAGGCCTGCCATCCTGCAGTTGTCAAGTGAACAGTGCCAATCAGCTTCCAGTGAAGCCACCTCGGACACGAGTTTCCCAGGGAGCCCTCCGGGAGTGAGGAAGGGTGCCTTCCCAGTGGGCTACAATGGCATTGGTGGGACAAGTGGCCTGAGGCAAGGGGAGCTCTTGCAGCTTTAAGGAACACCTGTCTGTTAGCAGTCTGACATTTTAAGGTGGATTACAGAAAAGTGGAAGCTATTCAAGATAAGAGGCTTGAAAGGGAAAGACGTGCAGAGAAGAAATCTACCACGTCATAACCTGTAGTCACAGGAGAAGAGTCAGAGTCTTTTGCTGGGTCCCAAGTCTTGCCTGAATCCAGATACTCCTGCCAAAGAGGAGGATGTTCTCTTTAAAAAGGGCACCATGAACACATCTTACATAACAACACATCATAGCCTGTAGTTTTAAAGCAAACGATGACATTAAGATGTGGCATTTTGTTTGCTAGTGGATTTCAGGTTATTTCGTCAGTATTGAGTGAAACGTTCACCTTTGGCGTTGCCTGGGGACACACGGTTAGGGCAAATAGAGCAGGGCGGTTAAGGGCAGCAGCTTGAGAATCAGACCTAAGTAAGACTCCCGGATGTCCCATTCATCAGCCAGGTGGGCACGTTAATTTAACCTCTCCATAGCTCTGTGTCTTTTTTTTTGTAAAATGGAAAGAAAAGGAACCTCCTTGCACCTGTGGGTGTAAGGACCGAATGAAGTCCTGCATGTAAGATACCTAGCACAGGACATGGCGCCTTAGCAATAGTGCTCTTTGCTAATGGCGGGCCCAGTGCTGCTGAGAACCTCCCCTGGACTCTGACTGAATGCCCACGATGGTCATTAAGGGATAGGCAGGGTTGTCATTCCCCTTCCACAGATGAGATAAGTGAGGCCTGATGAGATTAAGCTACGTGCTCAAAGTCACAGAAGAGAAGCATTTGAAGGCAGACCTTGGGCAGGCACCATGGGCTACACCCCCTCCAAACAGGAACGCCATCACCAGCCCTCCCCAGCTACTGGCTTCTCGTCCCAGATCTCGTCTTGGTCTGTGGACCAAGAGCCCCTCCCTTGGTTCTCTGCAGGACCCCTGGGCCCTGACTTGCAGACATGACGGCATGGCCTCAGCAGCTTCGGCCTTAACCCCCGAGCCCTCCAAGCAGGACCAGTGCCACCTCCAGATGATGGTTTGGAGTTGAGAGATGCTTTGGATTTGGGGGGCAGTCCAAGGACAGGGCTCAAACTGCCCTGTGTCAAGGGTTTTATCCTTACCTCAAGCAGCAGAGATGAGGTTTGAAGCTTTCTGGATCTTCCTGTCACTATCCGTCCTTTCCCTCTGAGTTGGAGGCTGGCTCTGGGAGCTGGATGTGGCTGGTTGGGAAGGCCACACGAACCCCATTCCAGGGATGGGGTTTCCCAAACACAGATGAGTTTCCCAACCTCCCGCACACCCCTGGGTCCCGTGCTTTTGCTGACAAGCCAGTGCTGACTCCTCCTAGCCAGAGACTCATGCCAGTCCCCTTGTGAGCA